CCAGGGCACCGCCAGCCAGGCGCCCTCCAAAGGCAGGCCCACGCTGGGTGCCGGCGATTCTGCTGAGGCGCCCTGCAACCCAAGCGACCCTGGCGTGGCCCGTAGGAGTGAGGGACACTGGAAAGGCCAGGGGCGGGCTCTGCAGCCGGCAGGAGGACAGCAGGATGGCAAGGCAGGCTACAACAGATGGAGGCCAGGATGGACCCTTGGATGGAGGCTCATCCTCCCATGGTGCAGAGGAGCAGGGACAGAGACACACCCGCAGTCTACAGGATGGACAGGGAGGCTGGCAGATGGCTGGAGGAAGGAAGGAGGGGTGGAGGCACGCAAGGGCAGATGGAGGCACAGTTGGATGTGACAGATAGATGGAGAGCAGGGACCAATGGCCAAATGGATAAAGAGACTCCGGTGCCCAAGAGGGCAGAGACAGAGGGTGGACCAGACCGAGCACTGACTCAAGGCATGAGGTGTAGCAGACCAGCTCTACATTGCACACGGTGACAGCGAGCCTCCTAATTCAGCAGATCTGAAGGAACCAGAGCCTCCTCCCCACCTCTCTGGAGTCACTATGTGGCCACTGAGAGCGGCTCCAACCTGACCCAAGGGTGGCCAACTTCCAAGAAGGGTCTCAGAGTCAAAGTACTCCAGCCCTTCCCCCAAAGCATAGGCAAGAAAGAAGGAAAGCAAGGCATTCTGAACAGAGCCCTGTGCTCCTAGGGCCTGTGCACACCCGGGTGTCATTATGCCCTGAGATTCCGGAGCTCCAGGTAAGAGGACCCTCCTACTCTAGCCCTGCCCAGGTCTGTTACTCTCTCTTTCAAAAGCAAAGCAGAGTCATATGAACACACACACTGCCCGCAACATGGCTGTGGACACGCTCTCTTCTTTGAACTTCTGGACAGTCCCTCTCTGTCCTTGAGTTGAGAATGTGGAGTTTTCCACTCATAGATTTTCCACCTGGCCTAGGGCATATTCTGCTCCTGACTTGAACGTCCACTGGGAGGGGAGGAGAGAAACTGGAAAATGAAATGGGTTCAGGGACTTCTTAGCAGGGCAGGCTATCCTCAATCCAAGGTAGTGTCCTCCCCAAGAGATAGCCAAGGTGGCATAACATGTCAACGAAAACAGGATGGGCGCTTTGTAGTCCCTGCCTCCAGCATAATCTTCTAGCAACATAAGACGCCAGAAGCAGCAACATATTTTCTAAAGCCCTTCCACAGAAATCATGGGCTCCGCTGGTTAGACACAATCTCTCCTTTAAAACACAAATATGGCATCATGTAGGCTGTTCTGCACTTTACCCTGTTCATTTATCTAATAACAACAATCCAACAAGGAAGGTGTTACTCACCCTTATTACATGTGAGCAACAGAAAGGTTAAGTTAACCTAAAGGTCACACAGCTAGTAAATGGTAGAGCTGGGATTTGAACACAGGTATTCAGACTCTGGAGTCCAGGCTTTAAACTGCTGGAAGCTAATGTCCAGATGATAAAAATGAGCCATGACTAGTCGGTCTCCCTTCCTCTCAAGACTCTCAATCTTCCTGCCCAGAGGAAACTGCTATTAATAGGTTCCTTCCAGAAAAAAAAAATGCAAGAAGGTACCTAAAAGCACATATCTAGATTCATAAATTGTATCTCTGCATCTTTTTAATAATAGAAATAGAAGCACTTAATACCTAGGGTGCCCCTTCTTCTCTTACTTAACATTCTTTGAAGATTTTCCACACCAAAACATCCACTTCCTCTTAAGGGCTGCAAAGTAATTCATTGTAAAGAAGTAATATGATTTAATCCCGTAGCCTTCAACATGAATACAGTTTAGAGACATTTTCCTTTGTAAATAATGCCACCGTAAGCATTTTTATATTTATGTCTCTCTTGATCAGAATGAATTTGTCTCAGGATGAGTTTGGAGAAGCAGGGTTGCTGGCTGTGTTGAGACACTCGAGGCAGACTGCCACGCCGCTATGCAAAGTGGGTACAGGGATTTACGTGCAGCTGATTTGTAAATAATGGTCAGCTGCGAAAGCTTATGCTCACTGAGTGACGTTTATCTAATTTCTAAGGCATGGGTAAAGGAAGTGTTGCTTTCAGATGATGAAGAACCTAGTCAGACTGTCAAATTTTTTGATTCATCTGCAGGTGCTTTCACAATGCACTCGGCAAGAAAGGATCCTTTTAATTTTTTTTTTTCTCTGGGGTTTCTATAAAAGAAAGTGGGGACCCAGGGCAAATTCTTTTCAGAGCTTAGACACAGGAACAGTTCTATGGAAAAGCAGTTAAGTGTCTCCTTCTGTTCTCGCTCTGGCCTCCAGGAGGCTCAAAATTCTATCTGCTACTCAAGCAGAACATCGGGATGAACCAAGGAGGAAGCACCATGATTTTGATATTTATTCCTAATTCTATCAGAGTCACCTTACTGCATCTATGCACCTTCTCCTGGGCTGTTTGGGAAGTTGGTGGTCTAGAATTAAATCAAATACAAAGGATCTAAAGCTAATAAAAGAGGGCAGACCCCAGGGCTACATGGCCAAGGCAAGGATAGAGCCAGAGGGGCACTCTCCCCCCCTTCCTGCTCGGCATGTGTAAGACACTTAATTATTCTTATTGCTCTTTAGCATCACTAAAAGAAAACAAATCTGGAAAATTCCCTCATCTTCCCCACTTTGCAAGTGGACGGCAAGAATTCAAGTTTCCAGGTAGGAAGGGGTTTTGGAGATCCCCTGAGCAAACCTACGACTTGACAAACGCGGAAACTGAGGCCCAGAGCAGCGAGGCCACTTACCTGAGGCCACAGCTCTAGGGAGGGAGGCGGGACTAGAAGGTGGGCGGCTTGAGGTCCAGGCCGGGGCGCTCCCCCACTGCATAACACGCCACTCGGACGACTTGGGGTGGCAGGAGAGAGGAGGAGAAGGTGACCCCACAGCCCCTAGCAAGGGAAACAACAAGAAGGACTTGAGGCACTCATAAATAATTAAGCAATTAGCTGCAGCAGCGACTCCCTCCCCTCCAGCATCTAGTCACCAAGGCAACTTGGGCAGGGTGCCTGCTGGTTGCCTAGTAACCGTGTGGTCTGTTCCCCTGACATGCTCCCTAGGCATCAAAGGATTGGAGATCCAGGAAGAACCTGACCCAGGCATCACTATTCCAACACCTTTATTTTTTCCAGCTGAGGAGATGGAGGCCCAGAGAAGCTGGGTAACCTGCTCAAGGTCACACAGTCACTCGGAGGAACAGTCAGCCTCCATTTCCAGGTCCTCTCCAGTGCATCCAGGCCACCTTGGGGAGGCTGCACAGGGAGGAGAGGAGGAGGTCTCCCCATAGTTCCTAGAAGAGGAGGAAGTCAGAGCCAGTGAGCAAGCAAGCCAGAGACAGAGACCTTGAGAGCTCATGTGCAATTAGCAGGAGCTGGTAATCCCATCAGCCCAACTTTCACCATCACCATGGCAACATGGGTGAGGCGGGCGCTGGTTGCCTAGTTACAAGTGGTCCTCTCTCTTCCACTCTCCTCCTGCTCCCTGGGATGTCATAGGAACACAGAACGGTGGAGTTGGATGGGAAGGCAGGGATCCTAACTTGGTCTTCGCCTTCAAGCAACCAGGAAGCTGAGGCTCAGGGACACCACGCAAGCCCCAGAGCCACAGAGCTGGCTGGGAACCTTTCCTCCACTGAGATAACCTGTCGCAGCACTGCAAGAAGGGAACCTGTCCTCCGTAGTCAGACAGGCATGGGAAATGCGGGAGGTCCTCCAGAGGGGACTCTACTCTTGTCTACCGGGTGGCAAAGCCACATACACAAAGTGGCACACAGCGAGGTGCACAAGAACAGTGCCTACACACCCAGTCTCCTCGACGGAAAACCCGAGCCAAAAGCCACTGCTTCCCAAACCTAGCAAGATCCTTATGCTCTCTGCACCTCAGTCCCCACACCTGAGGAGCAGGTACCCTGACAGTCCAGATTTCCAAAGCCGTCATTAAGATTTAAAGAGAAATGTAGCCGGGTGCAGTGGCGCATGCCTGTAATCCCAGCAACTCAGGAGGCTGAGGCAGGAGGATGTCATGTTCAAGGCCAGCCTCAGCAATGAGGTGCTGATCAATTTGGCAAGACCCTGTCTCAAAACAAAATATAAAAAAGGGCTGAGGATATGCCTCAGTGGTTAAGTGCCCCTGGTTCAATCCCTAGTATCAGAAAAAGAAAAGATTCATCTCAAAGGCGTTGGTGTGCAATAAGGACAGAGTGAATGCTGGGTGGTCAGTAATTCCACATCCAGTACACACTTGTCCATGCCTGCTATGCAGACGCCCCAGCACGGGCTCTGGAGAGATTCACTAATGAGCATGACTAAGGAGGAGGGACAGACCCCCCTGCCTGGGGCCTGACGTTGCAGGTGTGTGTGGTGATTCGGTGTGTGTTGCACGGCTGCAGGAACCCACTGGCAGTGTGTCCCGGGGCTCCTCCTCTAAGCCTGGAAGTTTCCTGTTTACAGGGTGTGATGCTATAAATACTCAGGCCTGGCTTCTCCGTGGGAACTCTGTTTTCCTTTCTGTTAAAAGCTCTCAAGAGAAAAGAAGGCAGTGGCCGCTAGATGGCAGACACCAGGTCCCCGACAGACAGCAGCGCCAGAAGGAACGGGCCCCAGGCTTCCAGCAGAGCCAGAGCGGGTCAGCCCCAGGCTGATGGCTGGGAGGCCAGTCCGGGGACACTGGGGGTGTCAGGGCAGCCTGCAGTGTGGGTTCGCAACATTGCTTGGAGGGAGACGGATCTCAGCGTCAAACAAGCTTGCTTCTGCTGTGAGCTAGCTCTGCGACCCCAGGAAGTCATCAGCCACGCTCAGCAGGGGGCCCTCCATCTGGGACACAGAGATGGCAGCGAGGGCTCTCCTTCTACAAGCTGCACACAGACAGAGCTCCACCCCTGTTAGCTGGATCCCAAAGACCGTGAAGGTGGAGTCCAGAGTCAGGAAGTAATATGGGGTAAGTGTGCTCAGGGAAGAAGCTGGCTGTACATGGTCCCTGTGCAAAGGGGCAGGGAGCCTCAGTGGCCCCACTCTTCACGGGCACCCCCCTGTCAGTCTTAGGGCCCTCATCCTCTTTGACTCGCATCCCTCTTCCTTCTTCATTCCCATGGTGCCCCCAACCCTGGCCCCTCACCTGAGTTCCAGCCTGGACAGATGGCCATGACACAGTAGTGCCCAGGCACCAGATGGACCGGCCCTAGAATGTGCTACACTGGCTTCTGACAGCTCCCAGGACCTGGCTGAAGTCCTTCCAGTGCCCACAGAGTGAGGCTCCTCCTGTGCTTCTCCTGCCTTTTTATCCCCTGGACAAGCCACTCCACGTCGCTCGGGGGCCGTGGGCACCTGCACCTGCGGCTGCCTCCACTGTGCATGGGTGGCCCTTCCCCAGCCCAAGCCTCCACCCGATTCAGGCGGTGCCCTCTCCCACGCGGCCTCTCTCCCTCATCTCTGCAGCCCCCCCACCTGGCACAGGCGGGTCACCCAGCTGGTGCCACCACTGCCATCAGGAAGTGATCTGGGCAGGCAACAGACCTTGACTGCCCGGAGGAGCCTGTGACTGTCTGCAGTTTCTCCTGTTTCTCTTCTGCCACTTTCTCCTCGCCGTGGACAGCCTGTTTGGTCAACTCCTGACATATATCTGTCCTCAAAGCCTGACAGCTGAAATCTCCAGTCGAGCCTGCAGCGTCCTGCCCACGGCAACACACCTTCCAGAATGCAGCTGCAGGCACGTTTCCAAATACATTTTGGGGTGTGTGTGTGTGTGTGTGTAAAAATATTACACATTTACATATACTTGGAAATACGGACGTATATGTTAAATATGTGGACTTGAAAAATATATCTATGGACAGAATTTGGAAATACAGATATTTCCAAACAGATCTGCCCCACTCCTGGGAGCATCCATCCGCGCTCGGCCTTGCCCCAACAGGAGCTCCTGGGCAGGCCTGGCCCCACCACCACCCCCCAAGCCCCTGAGACATTCAGGATCCTGCCCCCACATGGTCACACACTCCACTCCCACCTCCACGTTCTCGCCCGAGAACTTCTCTTCTCCGAGCGTCCACATTCTTTAGGCTTCTCCAAGGACCGAGGAAAGATCCACTGCAGGACAGGCCAGAGAATCCTGGAGCCGTGGCCGAGCAGGTCCCCACACTCCTGTCCCCAGGAGCCCCTCTCCCTGGCCGGGAACCCTGGGGAGTGACCATGTTCTTCTTTGCTCATGGAAGGTCCCCGTGGCATCTGCGTTGGGTCTGCGGCTTCTGAGTGAGGTCCTCAGGACCACCTCTGTTGGGCACTTAGATTGTCCCCAGGGTCCGCGTCCATCATGCACAACCCTCCGTCAACACCCTCTGCTGGTCACTGGCTTCTGATGCAGAGGTGGTCAATAATACCTGGGGACCAGCCAAGCAAACAGAGGTGTGGCCATCAGTGGGCAGGTGACGGGGCTGGCAGGTCTCCACGTGCCCTTCAGTGAGTTTTAAAAGGCAAGAAAAGATGGTCAGTAGGGAAACACTGGGATCTGAGGAAGGTCTAAAATGCATGCCTGAGCCCACGCTGGGCAGTGATGGTCTGGAGGAGTCCACCCTCTGGGTCCCCTGTCCTGGCTGCACAGTGGGTGTGTCCGGGTGCGGGCTCGGACACATGATGAGGCCTGATGTCAGTCGCACCATGTCACGTGACGTTGGTCCTAGCTTTCTTTCTGTGATTCCTTTGGGGACAACCCTGCATCTTCTCTGCCACAGGAGTCAGAGACCAGCTTGTAGAGTGCGTAGCAGAGGCAACGGTCCCAGGTAGCCTGGCACTGTCCTGCTTCAACCACTGGAGGCCCAGGTCCCAGTGCCAAGTCCAGGAAAACCCCTGATCCTGGGCCACCTGGAGAGGCTGGTCAGCTAGGAGCAGGTCCGCAGAGCACTGCCTGCCTGGCCTCATGTCCTGAGGTCCTGGCACAGGGGGACCAGGCTGAGGTAAGACAGCAGAGCCATGGGGGGGTCCCTGGACCTTTTACAGCAAGCGCTCCTACTCATTTTTCAACTCTCTCTCTTCTATGCACCAAATTTTAATGTCTAAGACAATTTGGGGGAACAAAGCACCATCAAGAGCATCCCTCCTTAGTGCAGGTCCAGGTCCAAGGTCTACCAAGACCCCAACAAACAACCAAAACAAAGAACCCACCCAGAAGTTCACAGAGACAGAAGTCACGTTCCCGGGGCCAGGGCATCTGCAGCCTTGGCTCTGCTAATGGCCCTTCCTTGGGACTAAAACCAAAAACAAACAGCACAACAAACAACACAAAACCCCAGACCTCTCACCCAAATATGCGTTTCCCACTTGCTTTTTTTAAAGGGAAAAGTGATCATAAAGAGAGGAAATTTTAAGAAATCCACAAAAGAAAGAAATATTCATGCAGAAAACATCCACTCACTCAGAAAAAATGTCGGGAAGTGACCACGTGGCCACCTGCACCGTCTGTCCCTACTGCGTGCCCAGCCTGAGCTCCCTGTGGTACAGCGGACCTTTGCAGGCCTGGGAGAAGCTTATGAAGAAATGCTCCTGCCGTGGGAGCCCTTCTAGAATATTTCCTTCACGAAAGCCCAGATGGAAATTCCTTACAGGTCGCTTGTTTCTTTAAGCTAAGTAGGTCACAACTGGAGAAGCCACTACCAAGTGATGAGCACCATCAGAAAGGAAAAGAGTTTTAAAAAAGAAGCCACCGTTATTTGTTTGTTTGTTTGTTTTCAAACTGCATGATTTTATCAGAGCCCTTGTCACTGTGCAAAGTGCTTCGTTAGAAAATAGGAAGACACTTTACAAGCGTTTAGGACAAAGAAACCCCTGCAGTTACAAAATCCCTGTCCTATTATCAAAAATACAAACAACAGTAAGTGTTGGCAAGGATGTGGGGAAAAGGC